TTTTATATAGGTGCTCTCATCAGATTCTCCCCACAACACTATGCTACTGTTAAGTCCCTCTAACTTGAGCTCAGTAGAATAAAGCTCACAGTGAGCTTGGACGAATCTACTTTTGAGACTTGCAGACTCTGAGAACTTGGCCTGGGAGAAATTTTCAGACAGAGAAAAACATGGTCTGTGTAGGTCCTGGCAGGGCACTCCAGGCCCATGCCAACTTCCCTCCATTCTCTGTCCCTCCAGAGCTGCTCTACAATACCTCCATAATGACCTCCAGCCCAAGAAGAAGGCACTCTTTTAGTCAGTCATTCAATCAACAAACATGTTTTGAGTACTTTCCCGTTGGTGCCAGGCCTTCTGCGTGGCCCTGGGGCTACAGAGATGAAGAGTCTGTACCGTGCATTTCGCGCCTCTCCAGTGACATGTTTGGTGGCAACTTTTCCCCTTCAAGGCTCTCCCTCAAGTTCACTTTATTCTGCTGAGCGAAGTCAGGCTAATGGTTTTGAGCCAGCCAGGTTGTTGGGTCTCTAATGGGGCAACAAGGGACCCCTTTGAGAGATGGTGCTCTTAGCAAGCTCAGAATGAGCAAATGGGACTCTCAGATGTGGGGTGCAGGTATCACAAACTTCTAGAGAAGGTGCAAGCCTGATTCTTTTTTTTTTTTGTCCACACCCTTGAAAAGTCAGGAGAAAAATCATGCGATCAGCATTGTGTTGGAATAGCATTCTCACCTAGGGTTCTGACAGAGCAGTCACTGTGGGTCTGCAAGACCTTTCTGGAAAGCCCAGCTTGGGAACTTGGGAGGCAGTTACAGGACTGTCTTCTCTGCCCCCAGTACATAGCCATGTCATCCTTGGTGGAGAAACACTAGTTAGTTTACTACAACGTTCAAGCAGAATGACTTGCTGGATTTTGGAATTTTCTAATGGACTGACTGTTAACCTCCACCCCTTTTTTGTCTAGCTGTTTGGTGTGGAAATCTTTGTAAGATATATGAACCCATTTCATAGATTGTCAATAGAGTCTACTGAAAAACTTGGTGAAACCTCTCTTTGTTGCCTGGGCTTATGACAAGGATTTGCAGTCAATGGATTACAAACTGGGGGCCCTGAACCCATAAAATCTGGTAGGGAGTCTATGAATTATATCCACATTTCACAGAGTCTATTGAAATGTACCTGTAAGAGGCTACATAAGTTCATTACAACATCAAGTGCTTTGGACTTTGGCTAGAATTAAATGACCTCAGTGTGGCTATCTCAATCTTATCTGAAATTCTAGTGCCATTTTATATGTATTAGATACATTTTCAAATAGTAAATAAAAATTATTACTTGAAAACATATCCTGTTTAAGTAGATGAGTATTTTGAGCTCAGAGGGTTAAGGCCACAGACTGTGGAGCCAGACTGCCTGGATTCAGATCTTGACTTCAAAACTTATTAGCTGGGAATGGATAAAGAGATGTGGTATATCCATACAATGGAATACTATTCAGTCATACAAAGGAATGAAGTATTGATGCATGCTACAATGCAGATGAATCTTGAAAACATTATCCTAAGTGAAAGAAGCCAGAAACAGGAAATCACATATTACATGATTTAACTTAATGAAATATTCAGAACAGGTAAATTCATAGAAACAGAGAACAGACAGGAGATCACCAGAGGCTGGTGGAGGGAGAAAAGAGGAGCAACTGCTCAGTGGGTACAGTTTCATTTTGTGGTAATGAAAACGGTTTGGAAGTAGGTAGCGGTGGTGGTTACAGAATGTTGTGAATGTGTTAAATGTTACCGAAATGTTCACTGGAAAATGATCAATTTTAGGTTATGTGAATTTGATTTCAATTTCAAAAACTTACTAGCTTGGCAACTTTGGGCAAGTTACTAAAACAATTTAGACCTCAATTTCTTCATCTGTGAAAGGGGAAAGTAATAGTATCTATCTGATGGGGTTGTTGTGAATATTACATTAAATGAGTTAATATTTGTAAAATTCTTAGACTAGTCTGGCAAATATTAAGCGATATATAACTGTGTGTAAATTGGATTCATGAGGGGAAAGAAATAATATAAGCCTTGGTAGTGAAAACTTTGGAGATCTTTAGTGAAGACAAAAATGGAAATAGTGCTCCACGTCTTTCAAGCATCCCATGGCTCAGAATTCCCAGTAGAGATTATTAGAATTTGATTATGAGGCACATCCTACCTCAAACCTATTCAAGAAGACACTGGGTGAGAGGGTGCCTCGGAATCTGAGTTTTAACAAGCTCCCCTCCCCCACAGTGATTCAGATGTGGATTAAAGTTGAGAAAATTTGGTGTGTGAATGTGTACTGAAGGCAGACTATTGGCTCCCTGGATTTTTGAAAAATCTAAAACTAGGGTCTCAAATTGTTTTTTAATAATTTTGTGACTTTCTTTCTCAAATGGACAATTCTGCCCCTGGAACCCCTTGCAGTTCAATGAGCAAGAACAGACACACGAGAAGACATATAAGCACATACACCCAAAATAAGAATGGTATCTTTACTGAGTTATCTATAGCAGCAAAACTATGTGCTTACTCCAGTCTGTGAATGTTGGAAGCGCTGTGCTGGCCTGCCTGGAGGATTCAGTAAGACATGTTTCTTGTCCTCCAGATACAAGTTCTGAGAGACAAGATGGCTACTGAGAAAGCTGGGGCTTCAGTCATGTGAGTGGTTGTTGTGAGAACTGTGGGGTGGGGGTTGGGAAATGGAATGGTGGGCAAGACTTGAGGGGCCCATCGCTCTCCATGAATGATTACTGTCAATCAGTTCCAAAGTATTTATGGAGTACTGTCTGCTCAAACGCTGGCATGCATTGTGGGCGGTGCTGCTTTCTATGACAAGGTACCCATCCTTAGATGGGGAGGTAGAACTGAGGTGCAGAGCACAGAAAATCTCTCTGGGCTAAGTTAGATAGTGCTTACCTATGGACTTGATTTTCTCAGCAGTGAGCAGAGTTCAGAGGCAAAAGCATCCAGAGAAAGCTTCGTAGAGCTGGGGCTTGAAGGATTTGGCTAGGTGGGGAAGCTCAGTGTAGGCAACAGGAGGGAGAATGGTATGTGTGGTTCAGCAGGGTACCTCAGTCTCATGCTAACATCCCTAAGCCTCCAGGGATCACCACCACATCCAAAAAAAATGCATCCACTCTAGGACCTGGAATTGAGTAAGTCCCCACTGAATGTGGACCACTGAACTGGTACTTCCTGAATATTCTTTAGCCTTTTTTTGGGAAGAGGTAATAGTTTTACTGAAAGGACTTGCTGGATTTTATTTCATTCCCTTTTGCCAGAAATATACCTTCTTCTTCATCTTTTTTTAAAATGTTCAGGTTATGGCTTTTATTACCAGGGCTTGAATTAAGCAGGTGCTCACAAATTTTTAACTTAAAAAAAATACCTCAAGTTAAAAATGACAACAAATACTGCAGAGTATCTTTTTAAACACCAAGCAAAATGCTACGTGCTTAAGGGCAAACATACTTGATCCTGGAAACATTTCCAGGAGGTGTTCCTTAGCCCCCATTTTATACATAAGGCTCAGAGAGAAGTTCAGTGTCTAAGGGATTATCACTGGGGAGTTGCAGAGCCAGGATTTAAACTATGTCTGACTTCAGTAACTTTGCCTGTAACCATGAAATGGGAAGAGAAGGACTAAAAGAGACCCAAACTTGGAACTGAGTCTTTACCTGAAGACAAGTCTTGGCCTGTTTCCCTACTATAAAATAAGGGGGTTGGATTAGGTCATCCATTCATTTAGTCATTTAACAAACACTTGTAGAGGGCCTACTCTGTGCCTGGTGTGAGAAGAGAAGAAGGAGGCTGTGATCTGCTGCTGATAAATACTGGGCCCCTTCATCCACGGGAGTGAAAATCTAGTTCGAGAGAGAGCTAGGCAGAGTGTAGAAGTGCTAAATACAGTGCAAGCTCAGTACTGTAGGGATGCTCCCAGGCACAGTTAACTTGGGGTGGGGAGAGGAAAGGTCAGGAAAGTGTCATGAAAGAGCCTGCTTGAGAAATAATGGTGGAGTGGGATTTCAACAACTTGAGAAGGGCATACAAAAAAGCTTAGGGAACAGTCAAGAAAGTGTTTCTCTTGTCCAAGGAAGGATGAGAGGGCAGGTTTGGTGAGAAAAGAGGCTTGCGAGGGACAGGGAAGGAGAGGAGGCTGGAATCTGATCAGGGATGGTCCTGAAACCTAGAGGGAGGCTCATGGACTTGATTTTCTCAGCAGTGAGCAGTCCCAGGCAACTTTTTAGGAGTTTAAGATGGCAGATGATTTCTCAGAGTCCCTTCCACTTCTAACACTGTTTGATTAAGAACCTTGTTAAGTGCCTAGCAGTATTAGGGAAGAGGGGAGGCTTGACCTCCAGAGGCCTCTGGGGTGATTTTAGCCTCCTTCCTATTTTCTCCCCTTTGGCTATAAACTCCAGAAAGGTTGTTGGTTGTTTACAGAGCTAAGTTTAACCAGACATGCTGTCTCCCCATGTAGACCGGCGCTCTAAGAGAGCAGAGACCAGACCTTCCTCAGCCTGCAGTGGGCCCCTGGAATGTATCCCCAGCAATAACCTGCTGTAGGAGGTGCACAAGAGAGAGTTACAAATAGCAAATAGGGGTGAATAGGGGCAAGGAATTTCCCCCCTCAGCCTCTCCCAGAACATAGAGGCCAACACTGGAGAGCACATAGTACTGTAACTCAGTCTGTCCTGCTGACCTAGTACCAGCCCACATTTTCCCCAGCTTTGCAAGGCTCTCTCTTTCCTGGTCCTCCTTCAACTTAAAACCAGTTCTTTGGCAGTCCTCAGTTCCAAACCTGACTTCACCTTCAACTGATTGGGGTACCAGAGGTGAAGAGCTGGTGAGAAGCTTCACGTTCACATCATTTGCACACTCTAAAGATCTAAACCACTGGAATTTTGTTGTTGTTTTCATAAGGGCAGGGCTATTTTACCAAGGAGACAAGGCCTCTGTTGCAGAACAAAGCAGAAAATTGAAGCAATTATCTCATGAATTTAGTTGAAGGTTGTTTTAGGGCTTAAATGACCCTGGACCCCTAAATGCCTTGTTTTGTTTGGTAGGCTTCGGGAAAGCAGGGCCCAGACTGGTATTACCCCTAGAGTTCTGTGTTCAACTGAGAAGGGTGGTGATGCTGATGTTGATAATAGCTCTTACGCAAGTCCAGTCATTTATGATGTTAAATTTCTTCCCCGTCTATTATCTCCTTTGACATCAGGGGTATTCCTACAAGAGAAGTAGGAGAGAGGCATTGATTTCCGTATTTTCAAGCAGGGGGCAGACCCAAAATGTAGTACCTGGCATTAGACTAACACTATTCAAATATTAGGACTTTCTTGAGGTCCCACTGCTAGCTAGCAACACAACAGGACTAGGGCCTGGTTCCTAGAACTGCCCAAATGATCCTCCTTCCATTATACCACACTGCCTTCTGAGAGCCCAGGCCCAGGGCTATAGCTATTATGGATGGGAGAAACCATTAGAAACAAAAGCTGCCCAAAAAGGAATATTTGGGCATTAAATTGAGGTGCCCCATGTTGAAAAGAACTGCAGATGTGGAGTTAGTACTACTAGAGTCGAGCCTGGCTTTGTGAGTCACAAGCCATGTGACCTTGAGAGAAAGCCAATCACATGCTCATAGACTCAGTTTCCTCAGTTACAAAATCCAGAGTTGTAGTGAGAAACAAATGAAATAATACAAGTGAAAGGGCTTTGTGGACACTCCGAGGTTGTACAAAGGTGAGAAATTTTTATGATGATTATGTTGAGTTCTAGCCTTAAATAATCATTAATATCTCCATTCTTTACAAGGTTTCCCATAGTAACCCCCCCTCCTTGGTTTCCCATCATCTCCTGTGGGTCAGGAAGCATGGTCCCCAACAGGAAAGGGCTCAGAGAAGCCAGAGCTTCAACCAGGAAATAACCATTTTGCCCCAACCTTCATTTTACCAGATAAATGATGCAGCCAAATGGTGAGACACAGACCAGTGGAGACAAGGTGTCCAGAATCCACTTCAGCCTCAAACCAAGGGCCAAATTAGCTCTAAGCCCTAAGAAGAATTGGAGATTTAGTAATTATCAGATTAATTAAAATCAGTAAAGACAGTCAACTGAAATCAAAGCAGAGTTCATAGGGCCTACATTATAAGGCCCATTCCAGAGGCGATTTCCTCCCTTCTTAATAGAATGCATTTTGTGTTCATATGTTGATCAGCTTAAACAAATCACTCCCAAATCTTCAGTTTCTTCTGGTACAATTTAGGCCAAACACTTTTTAAGGTGTGTGTGTGTGTGTGTGTGTGTGTGTGGTGGGGTGGGGGGTGGTGGTGGTGGTGGTGGTGGTGGTGGTGGTGCAAGGGATGGTGGGAGTGGCCAAGTTAAACAGCCAGGGAAGTAGCTCCCAAAGCAAAGTAAAATGGCAGGGTTAGGGCCACGTTGCTGGCAGGAGATTTTGAGATTGCCCAGGACAAGAGGGCACAGAGAACATCAGGTCTCAGGCAACAGCAAAGGCACTGCAGCCTCTGTGGTTCCCCCTCCTCTCCCTGGCAATACTCACGGACACATCCTTAAACCAGGTAAAGGAGACATTCCAGGGAGTCTCAACTGCCATCTCTAAAGTCCTTTCAGAGGAGACAAGACACCTCACAGCTTAGAGATGGGATCTCTGGGCCTAGGACAAAAGGGGGGGGGGCGGGAAGGAGGAGGAGGAAGACATTAACCCTGCAGCGCTTCCTTCTAGTCTCAATGACCCCCAGCTTCCTTACTATAGATAAATGTATCATAAATAATATCAATATATTTGCACATAAAGATTTTTTCCTAATTCCTACTATTCATTTCACATTCCGCTTACAAAGCCCCGAACCCTCCAGGAACTGCAGGGCACCTCCCTAATACCCTCTCGGCTTGAAGAGCTGCCTTTGAAGTCCTCACCACCGGCTCAGAGTTGGAGCTGCTAGGAAACACCCTGAGACTGAAAGCCAGTCCGCTGGCAGCTTCAGCTCCATCGCAAGCTGCTCCCCTCCTCAGAGTTAATGTAAAGTCATCAGAGTTCCAATGTGGACCGCAGGCTTGTCAGCCCTTCAGTCCGGGGATGGCCTGGGATGTAAACACTGACAAGGATTTATTCCCTTGGCCAAGCGGGGCGTCGTTAGGGTAAAGGGTAAGGGTCAAGGGGCTCGGTTTGGTGACTGAGGAACCCTGCGAAAGCGGGCAGAAGCCAAGTCCTCTTGGAGGCAGGTTTACCGCCCCAGTAGTGCAGGCTTCCCGGTTTACAGACCTTTCGTCCCCCTCCTCCCCTTCCTCCCCCAGGCTTCTCGCCCCCCGCCCAGTCCAGATTGCTCCACGCTCAGGCGGGGGGCTGCCCTTTGAGGGCCCAAGGGGTTTGCAGCTAGGGAGGTTGCCACGAAGGGTGGGCCTCGCGGGAAACGCGAGGCGAGGCGGCGAGCCCCGGCATTTTCCCTTCCCCAGCACCTGTCCCACTTCGGCGCCGGGGCTGGGGCTGCGCCCGCGGGCGGCCTCAGTGCCGGAGCGCCAGAGCCCTGCACCGAGGTCGCTCGGGGTGGGAAGTGGGGGGCCGGGGGAGGGGCGGGGCGTCCGGCGGGGGCGCCCTCCCGCACGCAAGACCCTACGTCCCCCCACCCTATACACTGAGGCTAAACGCCGAGAGAGTCACACATAAAGCACGAGCGAAAACGCTCGCTCTCCGACCCCAAGCGGCGTTGCTCGCCCCCCCCTTCCTGGAGCGGGGGCTGGCCGGAGAAGGTGGCTCCGTTCTTCCCCCGTGGCCAGTGCGGGGTCTGCGGCTGCCGGGCGAGGTTCCGGCTTCCCCGGGGCTGGCAGGGGGAGCCCCGAGAACTGCAGGCCCGCCCCCCCTTCCTCCTCCTCCTTCCCCTCCTCCCCCACGTGTCCTCCCGGAGCCCAGCGGCCTGATCCAGGCACCCCCCGCCACCTCCCTCCGCCTCCCGCTTCGCCCGCTTCCCCGGCGGCTTGGAGAAGAGCAAAGTTGCGAACAGCGGCCGGGGGGCTCTGCCCAGGTGAAGGGGGCGCCATTGGGGGGGGAAATCGGCGCGGCCCTGCGTCGGGGGCGGAGGGAAGATAAAGAAACTTGCTCTCCGCGGCCCCCACCCCGCACGGGTTCGGATCTTGCGTGGACCGAGCCCTCGTGGCGAGACGCGGCAACGCCGGCGGGACCGAGGCCGGCACCGGGACCCGGACCGCGCGCCTGGGCCGGCTCAGCGGGCGCAGGCAGCGGGCCAGGCCGGCACCCAGGCAAGGGCGGGGTGGGTGACCGTACACCGGACCGAACCGAGGGCTCCGGTGGCCTGGGCGCGGGCCGAACCCGGACCGGGCCGAGTAGGGTGGCAGAGTAGGACGTGGATTCGGGGGGCGGGGCGCGGCGGGAGGGGAAACCAGGCCGGGCCGGACTGGCCTGGGCGTGGGGGCGGGGGGCGAGTTCGGGGCACTTGCTCGGCTCGGGACCGAGCCGTAGGGCGGGGCGGCGCTAGGGGCTGGGCCGGACCCGCGGGGAGAGGGCGAGGGGAGGGGGAGCCGGGGTGGAGTAGGGGCGTGGAGTTGCGAGCGGGGTCTGGCCTCGGCCGGGGGCGAAGGTAGATCGGCGGGGCCGCCAGCGAAAGGAGGGAGGCCCGCGGCCGCCCGGCGGTGGCGAAGGCCAGCTTCGCGGAGTTTGTGCCCGGGCTCCCGGGCTCCGGCCGCTTCATGCGCACAAATGGGGCTAGGGGACGGACTGGTAAGCAACTACGAGTGTTAGACGGTGTTAGGCGGCGATTCCGGGAAAAGCGAGGCAAGACACCGTTCGCAATTATGCCGCACCCCCACCCACCTTTTAGCATCTGGATTCTGCTCACAGGGGGCCGCGGACCCTTCCCGTCACTACCCTTTCACTCTCCAGCACTCCCACAGCCTCCCCCCTTCTTCAACCGTCTGACTCTCTTAGGGGTGTGTGTTTGGGGTGGACGACGGCTGGGGGGGGGGGACTATACTTTTCCTCCCGCGGAGGTAGCCTAGTTCGTATCTTATTCCTACATGTAGCGTCGCGTCGAGTCGCGTGGACCTTGGGGTTTAAATAATCAACCTCCCACTCTCCCCCCCCTACCCCCAAGCGGTTTGATGGCTTTTACGGAAAGGGACGAATCCCCGGGTTTACATGCCTGGGATGAGGTTTGAGGATTGGGATTCACCCCCAGCTCACTTCCAATGCCAACCCTTTTCCTGTGCGACATTTCCACGGTGATTCGAACTTGGGGGGGGGGGAACGAGAGTATTAATGTACTTCTCTATCTATACGCAGGGTCGGCGTGACCAAGGACGTCTAGTCTCTGAGAGAAAGTAGCAATCAGTCCAACTCGGGTCGCCCCCATTATTACTTCGGCGAGAGGGATACTGGTAGGTCGGAGCCCCTGACGGAGGGGGCTGGGTTAGACTTCCCTGGAGGGACACCGTTTCTTGGCGGGGAGGGAGACGCGAGCCCCTGCTTCAGGGGAGGGGTTCCGGGGCAGGGAGATGGGGGGTGGCGACGACGGGGGGGGGGCGGAAAGAGGGGGGGAGTCACGCCCTTCCAGCAAAGGGAGCCTCTCTCAGGCCCCAGGGAGAGGGGACGGAATGCGTTTGTTTTGTGCTACCCGACAGGGCGATCTGGGGTCTTCGGATTTGCACACCAGATAGGGCACCAGTGGCCTGAGAAACTCAGGTCCGGGCTTAAGGCAGACAGCGTTGGAAGAAAGAGGTTCCCCTTGGCCACGGTGTACGATCTTTGCCTTTCCTCAACCTCCCTCTTCAAGGGGCATCGAGGGTGGGGGCCGTGGAGCTCTTACAGCCCCTCGGATTGAGTGCCTCCGCCTCTCCTGGGAGTCTAGCTTTTTGCCCGGCTTGCTGCAGCCACCGCTGCCTCACTCTACAGAATCCGCTCGGTCCTCGTAGCGATCCCCTCCTCCTCCCCTACCCTCCCAGTGTCACCGGGGCTGCTTGCTCTGCCCCCTTCGCCGCCGCTTGCTCCCTGCTTTCGTCCCTCCCTCTCTTGCTGGCTCCCTCCCTTCGCCTCCTCCTCCCCATTCCTCCCCCCGGCAGACGGCATTCTGGGAGTTGTAGTCTGGTGGAGTTGGGGTTGGCGCCGCCCGCGGTCCCGGCCGGACTCAACTTCCCGTCGAGCCCTGCGACCGGCACCCACTCTACCAGGCTTCGCTCGCACACACAGACACACACACACACCGCTCTCCCCCTCACTCTTTCGCTCGCCGCGGCTGCTGCCAGTGTGTGGCTCTGTCTCCTCCGCTTTGCTGAGCCCTCCCTTCTTCCTCTCAGTTCCTAGAGTCCGACCGCCGCCGCCGCGGAGAGAGGAGAAGGAGGTCGGTGGTGATAAGGGACGGAGGGGGGCGTCAGATCGGGGCAGTACTAGCCGGGTGGCGGTTCTGAGGGGATAAGACGGAGCCCGGGTGGCGGCCTGAGCGTCCCCGCGGAGCCGACCCGGGAACAGGTGCGTCTTTTTTCTCTCTCCCCCAACCCCTCCACCCCCTTTGACTCCCCGGCTTTCCCGTATCCCCCCACCCGCTTCTTTCTATCTTAAGCCTTTCCTCAAGCCTGTCCCTTCTTCGCTCCGCGGCCGCTCTGCTTGCCCCCCGGGGGCGCCGTCCTCTTCGTGTCCCCGGACGTAACGCTCCCTGGAGCTCGCTCTGTCCTCGCCCCTCCCTTCGGGACAGCTCCCCTCCACTTCCCACCTTAGTACCCCATTCCTGCCCTACCCTACCTCCTCTTAGCCCCCTTCTCCCTTAGCCAGGTGATACTTGTTCACCACGATCTGAGAGAGTCTTCTCGGCTGGGCGGGGGTCTCCATGGAAACGGGGGTCGGGTAGATCCTGGGGGGAACCATTGGAATTACCCCACTCCTCGAAAAGGGAGGTGAGGGCTGCGATCTTGTTAACTACCTGGTCCCAATCTCCCCCCTCACCCAAGGATCCCACGATTCGAAGGGAGGCTTGGCCAGCAGGGCAGGGCGAGAAAGGGTTTGTTTTTTTTTTTTGGGGGGGTTGCTGTCTGTGAGGAAGTCTTGAAGAGACTAGGAGAAAATACCTTCCAATCTCAGAGGGGAGGTGCGACGGTTTCTCTTCAAGGCTGCTTTCTCCCCCGTGTTGGGGTGCAGGAACCGTAGGGTAAGGGGTACCCCTAGGTGGCAGCGGGGCCTGGGTTCGGGAGTGGGAGTGCTGTGATGGGGGCAGGGGCAATTATCCGAGTCCCTGGAAAAAAGGCGGGGGATGACTTCGGAGCGCCCTGGCTCCGCTGCCCTCGCTGTTAGGGGCGGGGGCTGCCGGGCCGCGCGCGGCTGGGAGGGGGCTTAAATTGAGGGAGGAATATATGGGGGCAATTCATACTAGCCCGGCAAGCCAGGGGGGAGATCCGGTGTGCGGAGCTCTCCACCCGTTTCGCGCCAGGCCTGGAGGCAAGGGGTCTGAGAGCGGAGCCGAGGGATGGAACGAGGGAGGCTCCGGTTACGGGGCCGGGTTTCGGCATCAGGGGTAATCCCCCAGCCCTGGGAGAAGGAGGGAGAGGGATGGCCGCGAACCCCAGGGCTCCCACACCCCGGGTCCTAAGGGGCGTGAGGAACGGACAGCAGGCCCTGTGGAGCAGGCTTCGAGCGGATCGCGGTAGGG